CTTAACCACCTGGTCATGCCGGGCCCCATTTTAGTCGAGGAAACAAATTTAAAAAAAAAGACCCGTATGGTGACCATTTGACACTCGTACGTAGATTTACGTATATAATAGTAGAGTATTGTATGTATAATTTTATATTGTAGTTAATGTATTGCTATATTTCTAAGACGGTCTACTCACCCCGAAAAATGAAATCGGGCTAACTGACATAAAGCAGCTGTGCTGATGCTGCTGGCTATTGTATAACGATCCTCTACGTACACACGAGTAATACTCTCGCTATTCATGTGAAGAAAAGCTAATAACAAAATACATAATACAATATGTATTTTCTTCCCAATATTTATTACATCTTTCGAATTTTTCCATGCATTTTGTTTTCCTAATAGTTCACCAAATCGACGAAAATGTTTATATCAAGATATAGCATGTTAATTCAGTTTTAACATCGTAAACTATGTGTTGTCAATACATAAGACCCCCAGTGGCACAGCGGTATGTCTGCGGACTTACAACGCTAGAAACCGGGTTTCGATACTCGTGATGGGCAGAGCACAGATAGCCCATTGTGTAGCTTTGTGCATAAATTCAAAAAAACAAACAATCAATAAATGAAAAAAAATAAAAAGAAAACTCCAGTATTTATAAATATTCATGTAATTAAAACTTTCTATATTTACTGTGTTATTCTACTCTCAAGAAGCACATTAATTAAACAGAATCTCAAAGTTAAATCAATATTTGCGTTCATTCAAAGGGGAACTTGTATACTACAGAATTGGTGTTAAGTATGTGAAAACAAACATGTTTTGAATTCCCACTGCATAATACAATCTTAGAACAATTTTGTTTTATAACAAATAGATAATCTACTGATGGATTTGTTTCGTTCTTTGGTATTCTTCTTACAAATAGAACAAATATTTTGTCCCAAGTGTTTCAGCGGTAAGTTTACGCACTAACATCTAGGTCTCGATTCCACATTGTAGACTGAACGCAGATAGCTTATTGTGTGGCTTTATGCTAATGCTAATTAACAAACAAACAGAACTAACTCGAAAACCAAATGAATTGACGATTATACTTTTTATAAATTATAACAATAATAAGGGAAGATATATTCCTGGTAAAAATAAGACGTTACAAAACAAGATATGCCATTATGTTCAATTACATTAAGTATTTTTATCTTTGCGAATTTAAAGTAATATTATTGTATATTATAAAAAAAAGTCTGCCCCATAATGAGGCTTTGAGCATATAGTTGATTATCATTTCAACTAAATAAATACGTAACAAACAAATGTTATTTGTCATAGATAAATATATTTACAAAATTAAAGTTGCTTTGAAATATAAATCTATTAAAACTAACACTATACTAGATCTCTATGAAAAATATCTTTATTTCAAGATTGTTTGTTTGTTTGTAATTAAGCACAAAGCTACACAATGGGCTATCTGTGCTCTGCTCACCACGGGTATCGAAACCCTGATTCTAGCGTTGTAAGTCCGCAGACATCCCGCTGTGCCACTGGGGGGGGCTTCAAGATTGTACATCCAATCGTGTAACGATAAATGCACTTCGATAAGATGATAATATCTAAAACTTTGGTGGTATTTTGTATAATAAATTCTCCCAACAGCTGTGTTCCAAATGACTTTCTGATTTTCACTATAAATTAGCATTTTAACATGAAACTATATATATATCGCTGGGTGGGTTTAATAGTTTTTCTTCTGGTAAATACCTATCAAAGTTTGTTCTTTAAATAAGAAACTTCCCAAATTTTTTTTGTTGGCTAAAATACTTAGTGTGTAATAACTGAAACTAGTAATAACGGAAAAAATAAAACTAAAAAACTAGAATCATAAACTAGAGCAACAAACACCAAGGCAGGAAATGAATCAACCACAATGTGACTAAAATGTTTCTTCTGCATTGTGTTTCTAACGTAACCCAGAAACAATGAAAACTACAAACAAAAGCGAAAATCTGCGAGAATGAACTTTTACATCATTCAAGATCCTGGAATTCATGCAAGAACGTGCAGGTTATATGTGTTCCCACAGAACATCTGAGCAGTATTAGGTTCGTTACAACCGTGGGTGTATACAATTCATTGAGTCAAATCTCGATTGAGTAACTGATCCATTTATTAAGAATTCAGTAACAAGATTTATGTTTTGTCCAAGTTAACACTGATTAGTCCTTATTAAACATTAAAAACATACATATTACTTGAGAAAGGAGATATATTATTATTGTATAGAGTTCGTCAAGATGTCTAGTGGTGAAGATTTTTACAATGCTAGGAATATTAAATTATTTAAAATATTAATTGGAACATTTCTTTTGTTTCAGATTTTCTTTTGAGATTTCTTTTATAAGGGACACAAGTGTTTAAAACTCTAACGTTTGAAGATAATCTGAACTTAATATTTGTCATCGAAATGTCATGATTCGTTAGTCATCATGTCTGTGTGTAGTCTTTCAACGACTAAATTCATCTTTTCGTGTGTTTGACTCATTTGCTAAGGACCTTAATAGTTCAAATCCTGCTCTATTATGAATATATTCTTTAAAAAATCATCATTTAGTGTTCTTGGATAACTGGTGACAATTATCGATACATTTGTCAAATTGAACCAACAGTGCAACAGATTATTTAAATTATAAAGTTACATCTACTAATAGTTCTAATCATTTTTTTAACTAAACCTAGAACAAAAATCTAACAAAACATTTCATTTTTTTTTTTCGTATATGATAGGCATAATGGTTTATAGTGTTTTGGAAATATAAAAATCTAAAATCACTTTGTGGTTTTATATACGTAAAACTTTGCGATTGTCAAGAATAATTCATCATTATATTTTGTTTTGAAGGTCTGTAGTGGAGAATAAAGTCAATAAGCTGGACTATAATATCGAAATAGGCATATTTGTTTACAATTTTACTGGTTAAAAAATTCAAGTCGTTGTATCAACAACAATCCTTTCAAAAATATCTCTCTTTTTTTTCTTCTAGCGTGTTGTTATAAAATCAGTACTACAGTTCTATTCGGTTGGTGTTGAATTATTTTAAAATAAGCAAACACTGATGCATAGTTCTGGATCATGATATTTATAATATTATTTCAATTACAAAACATTTTGTTTTAAAATATTCACAAAAGATGTGACTTGTAATATGAAAATATATTACTACCTCTTACACAACAAAACCTATACCATGACTATCTGAAAATTGTAGTCTCCAGTAATATTGTTCCTTTCGCAATAACTTAATTTAAAGGTGCGTGCGTGTAAGTGAAAGGACACCAAAGTGCATCAGCTCTAATTTTCTAGTCTTTTAGTTTTATATATTATATAACTCTAATATGGTACAACATTTGCACTAAAGAAACAAATTTAACATTACTAGATGGTTGTAACATACATATATTTGGATACAATGACTGTGTTTTCAAGCACCTGCAATAAATTCAAACATGGCACACGAAGTTATTGTTTTAACATTTTACCGTTTGTTAATTATAGTTTGGGGGAAAAAAGTAAGTACTTTAAAATACATAACACGTTGTAGAAAAATATTTCAAGATTATCAGTTTAAAATTTTTAAACCCACAGTTTGCGTAACAGATTCTAATACGAGGGCGATATTTCTTATGTCATTATTAATTTTAGGAACATAGAATGGGTAAAATTTGAATTGAAGATATGATTTGGGTCGTGATATGCTTAATATAAACGTGATTTGTTTGTTTATTGTTATAAGCCTTCAGACTTACCGCTGACACACTTGAGTACATAAACATTAGTAGATTCTGTGATTTTATGCTCCATATTTAACCCTCTATTGCAAATTATAAGAAATGTATCTTTCTTTGCTTAATACAGATATAAATGCTTCAATTCTGTAACCGAATGCTTTTACTCTCAAGTGACAGACTAAATAAACCATAGAAATATATTTGTTGGTTCCCCCAATCGAACGGTTACTTCTAGGTAACGTACCCATTTATAACTTACCAAATTATATTTCACAAATCATTTGTTTGCAATATAAACCTAATGAAATAAGAAATTCGAAGAAATCATTTTACCACTGTATTTTCATAATGCGATCAATAAAGGGTTAATCTCATTGACATTACTTACATTATATTCAGGTAGAATTTTAGAATCCCTTTGACATTTCCACGTGAAGGTATATTACACGCCTTCGATCAGATCTTGTTTATTGTTCTGGATATTTCACAGGATGGTGTAGGAGTTTTAAACAGGATTTTAGCAGAAATTCCCTAAGAACTGTTTCTTAGAGGTAAAATGTGTTTTGTTTTATTCCAAAAACAATGTGGCATATCAACTTACCGTCATCATAATGTCTCATAGTTAACCTTCAAAATTCCTCTAGTCACGAAGGTTAAGAAACTAAGTTTTGTTCGTTAAATCATAACTGAAAACTGTCACACTTGTATTTTGATTTAATAATAACTAAGACATTTAGAACCAGACACAGTGATATTAGACCGTTCATATAAACCAAGCTTATTCATTAACTTAGAAAGATATATTTTTAAATCAAATGCCTAATTTCTCCGTATATATATATATAGGCTTCCAACTGAACTTGTACTTACTTTAAGTTGTGTTTCCTGTATGTCAACTTCGTATAAGATTTAACATAGTTCTTCTCAAGTTAATATCTGTAACCGTAACAACAAGATATTCTGAGATCCAATAACCAGTTTAACTTTCTTCTACGTAATGCAATATAAGCCACAACGCATTCTTCAATTCATTTATTTCTATAATCTTCCTTTTTATTTACAGAACAACAAACATTCTACTAGTATATTTTTCCAGGAAAAGATTAAAACTGGAACTTGACATTAAAAAAACAAGTTTAATGCTATACGAGTAACCTATCACCGCACTTGAAAAGGTTACTTACATAGAACTAATAATTCAGTTCGCCGTAAAAACAAGGTGAAATTGAAAAAAAAATGAGCCAAGAAATGAATATATAAAGAGACTGATATCGGAGTGAATGTACAATTTTGAGGACACCACAGCAAAGGTAAGAATTCACAGTTTTCTACTAACTCCTCATTTTCCGCAGCTAACACATTTGGTGTTACATACCAATTGTTACTATCCCAATAGCTTATAATTAATTCTATACACTTTGCAATATTAAATATGTTTATATGTTCGCATTTATAGTAGTGCCCTTCAGACATCAACTTTCCCCTATAAATATTTGTAGTCGTTTTTCTAAACTCCACAATATTTCTCTGAATGAGTACTTACGAAAGAGATGTTCATTATAAAACTAATTTTCATACATTATATACTAGAAGAGTCAAAAATATGATAGTTTGGCATTTAGCTAAGAAATTATGCAAGAAAAAAGATACAAAATATAATAATAAAATCTGAATTTCTACTCCTTTGCATATTTTTTCTCTCTTTGTTCTTTTAGTAATAAAGGATAAGTGTTCACCCTATTGAAAGACACTGGATAGCGTTATTTTATACTTGATTTGAGGTTATAGAGAGAGCCCGGCATAGCTAGGTGGTTAGGGCGCTCGATTCGCAATCTGAGGGTCGCGGGCTCGAATCCCCGTCCCATCAAACATGCTCGCCCTTTCAGGGCCCGGCATGACCAGGTGGTTAGGGCGCTCGACTCGCAATCAGAGGGTCGCGGGTTCTAATACCAGTCCCACCAAACATGCTCGCCCTTTCAGCCGTGGGGGCGTTATAATGTGACGGTCAATCCGTTGGTAAAAGAGTAACCCAAGAGTTGGCGGTGGGTGGTGATGACTAGCTGCCTTCCCTCTAGTCTTACGCTGCTAAATTAGGGACGGCTAGGGCAGATAGCCCTCGTGTAGCTTTGCGCGAAATTCAAAAACAAACAAACAAAACAAACATCGCCCTTTCGGCCATGGGGACGTTATAATGTGACGGTCAATCCCACTATTCGTTGGTAAAAGAGTAGCCCAAGAGTTGGTGGTGGTGGTGACTAGCTGCCTTCCCACTAGCTTTACACTGTTAAATTAGGGACGGCTAGCGCGAAATTCAAAAACAAACGTTATGAAGAGAGGAGAAGGAAGTCACAACCCACTTCCAAATCCTCCCCCTCCTCCACCACCGCCACCGCCACCTGAACCACTTCCATATCCACTTCCAAATCCTCCTCTTCCACCACCACCACCTGAACCACTTCCAAATCCTACTCCACTACTACCACCAGATCCTTCTCCGCCTCCACCACCGCCACCTCCTGAACCAAAGCCTTTACTTGAGCCCCAGTCACTATAGCCACATGTAGAACAGTGTCGGTCTAGAACATCACATTCTATACAGTTGTATAACAGGGCAAAAACTGCCACTACCGCCAAGCTTTTCATTTTCGGCTTATTTCCTGATACCTTAAAATATTCAGAATGATTTTTAATAGCAAAGTAAAAGCATAAGATCGTCTATACGTTAAAAAGTAAAATTAATAACACAATGAAAAAAAATTGGTTCTCAAAATATATATACACAGAAAATGTGTTAATCACATTCTCCCAGATCCACTTCCAAACCCTACCCCGCTTCCGAATCCTACCCCTTTACCGAAGCCAAAGCCTTCACCACCACCACCACCACCAGATCCACTTCCAAACCCTATGGTGGTGGTGGTGGAGAAGGCTTTGGCTTCGGTAAAGGGGTAGGATTCGGAAGCGGTCATGGAAGTGGATTTGGTGGTGGCGGTGAAAAAGGCTTTGGTTTCGGTAGTGGGGTAGGACTTGGAAGTGGATCTG